TTATATATAAAATTGAGATCTCTCCTTTTTCTTTCTTTGTTTTTTCCTTTTAACCTTGACAAGTAGTTTATCGAAAAAGAAAATGAAAAAAACATCGTCATTAAGGGGTCGACGTTTGGATCTTTCGGTGCACAATTAAATATAAATTATAACCAACGTTAAGATTTTAATTGGGTTCATCCTGATTCCTAGCTTATTCCTTTTCTCCTTCGCCCTAGCTTTTAGGATCCTAAATTTCAAGTTTGTAAGTATTCTCCGCGTGTGTCAAGTGTTAACTATAATTTCCTTTTTCAGTTGGCAAGGAATCACGGAGGTCAGTGGTTATAGCCGCTACAGGTGATACATTGTACTTGATTAACATTAATTTATTATTATTATCGCATCAACTGAAAACATCAGCCCCGAGGTCTCATAACTGTTCTCACGATGATGGATGACCGAAAATATACTAAAACTGATCATGAAATTAGAATTTAACATGAAGAGAGTGAGAGAGATGTTAATCTGTAAGCTTTTTATATATGATAAACATAGTTGAAACAAGAAAGAATCCTTACGGAAACAATGTGATAGTTAAGCAGTATTTATGTTAGTCATTAACGGCTACAAAATTTCGGATAATCTCACCTCCTATTGATCACAGTTTCTGCAGTTGCAATAATGGGAGTTTTTGTTCCTATAGTCTACTTCTGTAAGAGGGCTATGTTTTCTGACAAAATCACTATATTCTGGAACAACAAATCTCAAGCTCATCAAGATTTTGAGGCCTTTCTAAAGAGCCACAAATCACTTGCCACAAACAGATATACCTACTCTGAGATAAAGAAAATGACCAATTGTTTCCAAGAAAAATTAGGGCAAGGAGGCTATGGAAGTGTGTTCAAAGGGAAGTTACATGATGAGTGTCTAGTTGCTGTGAAGGTTTTGAATGAAACAAAAAGTAATGGGGAGGAATTCCTCAATGAGGTAGCAAGTATAAGCAAGACTTCCCATGTTAACATTGTCACTCTTCTGGGACTTTGTTTTGAAGGACCAAAGAAGGCACTTGTTTATGAGTTTATGGCTAACGGATCGTTAGAGAAGTTCATCTTTGAAAATGAAGCCAACCTCCTTAATGGTAACCTCCAATTGAGCTGTGAAATATTGCATCAAATTGCAGTGGGTGTTGCACGAGGACTAGAGTATTTGCACAGAGGATGTAATGCTCGGATATTGCATTTTGACATAAAACCTCACAACATTTTGTTGGATGAGAACTTTTGCCCAAAGATCTCTGATTTTGGATTAGCAAAAATATGTCCTAGAAATGAAAGTGCTGTATCCATGTGGGGTGCCAGAGGAACTATCGGATATATTGCTCCTGAGGTATTTTCTAGAAATTTTGGTGTCGTCTCTCACAAATCAGATGTTTATAGTTTTGGGATGATGGTTTTAGAAATGATTGGAGGAAGAAGGAATGTTAATGTCAATGTTAACAATACTAGTGAAATATATTTTCCTCATTGGATTTACAAGCGTCTAGAATTCAATGAAGACCTTGCACTGAGGAGCATTAGAAATGAAACTGACCAAGAGAGGATAAGACAGATGGTTATAACAAGCTTATGGTGCATACAAACTAACCCTTCAAACCGTCCAGTGATGAATAAAGTGGTGGAGATGCTTGAGGGCAGAGTTGGGACCTTGCAGGTCCCACCTAAGCCTTACTTATCATCTCCTTCAAGATCACCATGCTCTTTCTCTTCATCAACTCACTGATTCCATGGTTTTTGTCCTATGGGGCAGTTTCATTAAGGCATGATACTCCAAGACCCATATGTTTATGTTTCTGTTTGTGCTTGTTATTTTCTAATAAGACCCTGCTAATGCACTGAGACAGCAAGAAAATGGTGACTGTTAATTTACATCATTGCTTGGTAACTTTTCTGTGCATGCTTGTTATTTTCTGAAGTTATCAATTGCAAATTAGATCTCTGCTTGCCTGTAGAAGCTCTCATATACTGACATCAAGAACGTGGCAATGCTTTTAGACTTGTATTATGTTAACCTCTCTCCTTACTGTAAAAATTCTATCAATGTTGCCTGCTAAGAAGAGAAACAGACAAACAGAGATGTCTTAAGTATGAAAATGTAAAAGTTCAGCAATTCATCGAAGCTTTCTATTTAAAAATGTTTTTCTATGGCAACTTGTTTCCCCAATCTTTGCAGTCCATTTCCAAATCCATACAATAGTCTTAGACTCGGCTATAATAACCAAAGATTTTCAGTGTTTTCTTGCGTTCATCTTATGGCAATATTTCTACCTTGCATCATTTCTTTTTTGGATATACACTTTCTTTTTATCATTTCTACATTCTTATTTACAGGAACAGAGACAAACAAACAGAATGAATGGCACCAATTTTGAGGAACTTGAATCTATGTTTGATTTTAAGATACATATGAACTTCCAAAATATCTTCGTTAAGACTTGAGCACAATGCTATGAAATATTTTAACTTGTTTTCTCACTTTTACAGAACCGCGGAATTTTATCATTGAATGTTGCTGTATGCTGTAGAAATAATTCTAGGCATGTAAGTGTTGATCATATTGAAGAGCCAGTTGTCTCTTAATACATATAGGAAATTCTTTGGTTGAATCTCAGTTTTGATTCTATGCCTGTGGTTCTTATAGCTTAGCGACTTACAAACTAATCTCAGAATATCATGATATGTTCTGAACCGTAATTTGAAGATAGTATTATGATTTAATTCAGAACGAAACAAACATGAAGTCTCTTGTATTTGTGCTGTTCTGTTGTCTAAAAATTAGTTCATGGATGTTTTTAACAATTCGGCATCGCATTATTAACTACTAACGGGTCACCTAAACCAAGAACTAAGCTGAGGTATTTTCTTCGAGTTTAACAAGTTTTGCATCTGAGCAATTGTCAGATATTCTCGTCAATGTTTTCAACAAGAATATAACGTGATTATATATGGTAGTTTTATGGTAATTTCATAAATATGAATGGTCGAGCGCATTTCGCAGACTTCGGAATGATAGGAATTCAAGCAGCTCTTGAGTTTTCCATGTTCTTGAATTATCGTCATTAAGTTTGGAGCACTCTAATATCATGCAAAATCAAAGATTTTTGTTCTGGAAAGCTTGAGGAGGTGAAGAGCGGCAATGGGTAATTTGTTGATGAGATAAGCTGATGTTTAGAAAGCATCTTCTCAGAATTTTGCAAGTCAAAAAGAAATAATCTAGACATCTTTCGCTCTTCTCATATGGACAAGAGTGTGGATAATTTCCCTTTTCGAGAGAAACAGGTAGAAAAACCTCTAATCAATTAAACTAATCCAGATGGGCATTTAGAGCATATAGTTCTTTAAGTTCAACCTAATGCAACTCAATATCTCAATTTTCGCTATTTAATCGTTAGTTTCTACATTCCATGACTTGTTACACCATAGTTAAGATGTTTTTTTGGAAGGTGTGGGGAGCAGTTTTATTAAATGACTGAAACTTCAGGGATTAAGTTAAGCAAATTAAAATTCAGAGATGGACCAGCTCAAAACTACATATATAAACGATTAATTTTTTCCTTTGTTAAATTCGTAAGGTGGCCTATTGTTACTCTCAATAACAATCACATGGACGAGTTTGAAATGTTAAAAGCTTTCAATTTGAAAATGTTTGCATATCGCAGTGAATGAATCAAGATAAGGGAGTTCGATCTTCCCAACTAAATAATGGGAGGCTAATTCTGAAAAACAGAGGTTTGTTTAATAGTATAGTTTTCTTCAATTTGTTCGAGTTGCTTTAGAGACTGACATTGAATAATTCCAATCTGGAGCAATATAATCGATAAAATTAATTCAAGTATTTCAGAGCATGCCTAGAGTCCAACGAATAATCCAATATGCCCACGCAATGTACAATCATAAGACAAACACTACATTGTTATACAATAAATGACACCAGTTGGAAGAGAGGAGTGGCCTTCTGAGAGAGAAGTTTTTCAAGACTCCAAAACTGACTCCCTCAAACATATATGTAGTTATTAGGATTTGAATATTAAATAATATAAATCATATAGGTAATACTTCTTTTCTGGACTCATATATTTTGTTATTCACATAATATCCCCATTTATATTGGGATAGTGGCTTAATCTACAAAAGTGGACTAGGTATAACTCAACATTAACTTTGCATAAAAGTTGGAGGATTCTCAACTAAATATTTGATTCATCAGAAGATAAACTTCATTCAAAATTAAAAGTGATAAATAAATATGAAAGTATTCTTAATTTCTATAAACGGCACAAACAGACATGGACTCCAAGCTTAAAATTCTTCAGCTTCATCCTCGAAAGTATTTTACAAGTCACTGTTGACTGTGGATCTAACATGGAGTTAGAATTCCACCATCTGGCTCCTTCCTGCATGTTTCCTTAGTATTTGCAATCCTTTTCCAAGTCAACAAAACAATCTTAAACTCAGCTATATAAGCAAAAGCACTTTATTGTTTCTTTGCACACATCTTTTGGTAACATTTCTACTTTATGTATCAGTATATCCTTTATTCTTATATTCTCTTCTTTAATTTCCTCTCATATCGTGCTTTTCTTGCAGGTGAACCAGTCCAAAAAAGTGCTATAACTTGAAGAAAAAGCAAACCAAATTGGGATGATTCCACTTTACATGTCTCGCTTCCTCTTGTATTCTGAACTGGTGCTTCTATTTCTGGCTGGACATGGAAATGGAAACCATGACAAGTGTCCTCGATCATTTGATTGTGGAGAACTTGGGAAGATCTATTTCCCTTTCACAAAGGCAGAAAGACAGGATTGTGGCTTAACGATGATACATGGCTGCGATGATCCATCTTCGAATAAAACGATTCAACTGGAGAAGAATGGAAGGCCATTCAAGCTTACAAGCATCATTCTGCAGGATAATTCTATTACTGTTACTGATCTAGATCTGCAGCAGAGGTTGAAATCCAAAACTTGTGAAATTTTCAACAAGAATATCACTTTTCCTCATGCCTCTCCTTTGGTTTCTTTTCATATCAAACATAGCATAACCTTGTTTAGATGTGATCACAGCCTCAACATTAGCCCTCCTGCCAGTGTTTATAGTCATGCCTGCCATAACTATAATATCTATTATTACCACTTGAACAAGCGTCCTCTTGATCATTACCAAAGATCTTTCTCAGCTTGCTCTGTTGTTCTGCTTCCAAGTAAACACCAGAATCATACCAAAGATCTTTTATCATTCTTAACTGCTCAAATGGTCATTGAAGTACAGTTATCTGATGCTTGTGATAAGTGTTACAACCAGATAGGTGGCCAATGTCGACTTGACAGCAATAGAAACTTCTATTGTGACAGAGGTACGTGGATCTGCATGATTCTTGTAACTCGGCTTGAAACAGTTTTTTACATTTCAATTTTTGAAAACAACTGCTCACAAACATTGTGACCAAGAACATAAATATTACTCAGAAAACCTTAGAGGTCTCTTGATAGTCCGTTATTATTTTCCAACTCAAGACTTTTTTTTTTTTTTAGCATATCCGTATTCTGGGTTTGAATTTCTGAAACTCATAATAATAGCTACTTGAAATTTGAAATACTTTATATTTTATTAGCATTTTAACAATAAACCAAAGAAGTACTACCCCCAATCTGTAATACAAGAGCTAATTGATTAATTTGAATAGATTAAGACAAGTAGTTATTTGTAATAAATACGTACTGTCTTCTCTAAAATATCATTGCTAATTGTGTATACTCCTCCGGTCCTAAATATAAGATCTATTTTATAGTGTAATATACACTACAAAAGGAGTATTAGCTAGAACTATCATTTGATAAAATTTTTAACATGTGCAACTACTACAAAAACTACCTTGAAAAAAATAGATAAATATGAGAGATAATGTGGATTGGGATCTTATATTTAGGATCAAATTAAATATCAAACTAACTTTTATATTAAGGAGTAGGGATAGTATTTTTTCTTACCAACATAAGACTGTTCTTTCGTCAAGCAGGAAATAGCACACAAAGTATGCTTTCTACTTATTGGTGCTGGTTTAACTTATTCTATTTAATTTGTTTGTTCCTCGCAGAGAAAACTGGAAAAACCGTGCTCATTGGGACAACAGGTAAAACAATTTGTCAAAAACAGCATTGTCAAGATTCAGCTGTTTAAATGCGTATATATAATTGCTTCAACTGTTTATTGTTACCTTTCACTTCAACTCGTGTTAGAGCATAAGGTTAAAGTAATAATCATGTAATTTGCCATAGCATGTGAGTAGATGATTCTAGAAGTATGCACGTCCTCTGCATTATTCTTCTTTCTCTTCATGTCCATCTAATATTCATTTTCTTTTAACTATATTGGAATATAAATACAATATGAAAGACCAGGCTTATTATTGAGGCTTCTTTCGTTATTCATTGAAGGATGAAAATAAATACTACCTCTGATCCTTAATATAAAAAGTAATTTGAATTTCGATTTGATCCTAAATATGAGACTCAAATTTATCTTGTCTCTTATATTTATCTTTTTTTTTTCAAAGCAGCCCTTATAATAGTTGCACATGTTAAAAGTTCAATCAAATGGTAGTTCTAGCTAATACACATGATTAGTCAGGGTATTTTAGAAAAGACAACACCTAATTATTACAAATAACAAACTCAACAAACTTTTTTAACCTATTTGAATTAACCAACTAGCTTTGCATTAAAAACCGAAAGTAGCACTAAAAAAAGCTGTTACTTTGGCTAAAAGTCAAATTAGTGATTATTTAATATGATTGGTAGCCTTCGTATGCATGCTGTTTCTTGTGGGGCATATCTTTATCCGACATTCTTCAAAATTTTCACTTTTTAATTATTGTAGTGGCTTCTTCTGCGGGACTTGCTGTGCTATTGTTCCTGGCCTTTTGCTCTAGAAGAAAGCTTCTTGCTCTTGCTTCATCCAATCTCTTTTGGAGGAAGAGACATGCAACCCGTCAAATAACTGAAGCCGCTCTGGAGCAACATGGACCAATCTCTTGTAGACAGTACAGTTACTCTGAGATAACGAAAATCACAGACTGTTTCAAAACCAAATTAGGCAAAGGAGGATTTGGAACTGTATATAAAGGGAAGCTACCAGATGGGCGTCTTGTTGCGGTGAAAGTGCTAAGTCAGTTAAAATGTATGAATGAGGAATTCATTAATGAAGTTGCAAGTATCAGCCGGACATCTCATGTTAATATTGTTAGCCTTTTAGGCTTTTGTTTCCAAGATTCGAAAAGAGCTCTAGTTTATGAGTTTATGTCTAATGGATCTCTCGAGAAATTCATATATGAGAAGTCTGATTGCAGCATGGCTGAACACCAATTGGACTGTCAAACTCTATATAATATTGCAGTTGGTGTTGCTAGAGGATTAGAGTACTTACACAGAGGTTGTAACAAGACCAAAATCCTGCACCTTGACATAAAACCTCATAACATCCTACTCAATAAGGAGTTTTGCCCGAAAATTTCAGATTTTGGACTCGCTAAAATACTGCCAATAAAAGATTGGATTGTGTCCATATTGGAAGCAAGGGGTACTGCAGGATACATTGCTCCAGAAGTATTTTCAAGAAACTATGGCGACGTATCTCACAAATCAGATGTCTTCAGTTTTGGAATGGTGGTTCTAGAAATGGTTGGAGGAAGAAGGAACATGAATGCTGAAGTTGATCATTCCAGTGAAATTTATGTTCCACAATGGATTTATAAGCGCCTTGAACTGAATCAAGAACTAGAATTGGGATGCATTAGGAATGATACTGAAAAAGAAATGGTGAGAAAAATGATAATGGTGAGCTTATGGTGCATACAAACTGACCCTTCAATGAGACCAGCAATGAGTGAAGTAGTGGAGATGTTGGAAGGAAGCTTGGAAACCCTGCAAGTACCTCCTAAGCCGTTTTTCTTTTCTTCTTCAACAACTCCTGTTCATTCCACATCTCAACTATGTGAGATTGTGCAGTTATAGGATTCCCTTTTGTTATATATGGGTCTGTGTTTTATCTGTTTTACGTTTTTATAATCTTTTCCTTTTGAAAACTGTAATATGCAATTTCATTTTTCAATGCTTTAACTCTAAACATGTTTGCATTTTCTCTTTCTTTTCATATATCATCAAGCATAAAAAATTTCAACATTTGCATTGACAGATGAAGCTCTGTTTTCTGTTTGTTGAGAAACGGGTTTGTCCTCTTTAGGGGCAAGGAATATTCAGAATTGTCCAAAGAGTAGAAGACATAAGATTGAGGAAAGCAAAAGGTGAAAACTTGCCTCTTTCAAGCTAGAAATTTGGCTCCAAATTATTACCAGCTTAAGAAATAGAGAAAATTATGATCATTTTTAAAAAATCAAAGTTAACATAAAAATTTATGGAACTAGCACTAAATTTTAAGAAAGTAATTATGAGATTTTAAAATAGATGATTTTAAATAATAATATAATAACTTCCTTAAAACTTATAGATATTTGGAAAAACAAATAGTAATGCGTCTCATGAACTATGATAATGATTTTAATCCTTAAAAATATGTGTGAACATTTTAAGATTATTTAATCTAATTTTTTTAGAAAAATATAAATATCATATTCAAAATCATTTAGTTGGGTCTTTCTTTACTGCATTCACTGCTTTGAGTAATGAGCTATTTCTTTTGCTTAAGAAAAGGGATGAAAGACCAAAGACCCTCTTCAACTGAAAACGAATTGGTAATTTTTCTTAAATTGACTTGGATGATAGAGAGTTATAGTGCATGATAAGAGTTGATGGAGTTTATTGCTGGTAAAAAAAAAAAACAGAGAATTTTATTATTTGGCACTTAATTGTCATGACTCATAAGCTTTGGGCATCTATTCCATTTACAAGAAATAATATCCCCACAATTGTTTTCCGACTTATCAAGAAAAAACAAATATATTATATATCCCCACAATTGATTTTTTTTTGGACCGAAATCCCCACAATTGATTGATTTTTTTTTTTGATACAACCCCACAATTGATTGATTGATATGTTTCTTTTATATCTTCCAAACTACTGTCATTCCTTCTAAAAAGCATAATTCTTCATAATTGACGACGAAATGACACTTTAGGACTTCAAAAGGGTAATAATTACAGTTAAAAGAAGATGTTAATGAGAAATTGCTGAAAAAACAGGTTAGAAATAATACAAGCTTGGTTGAAAATGATGAAAGGTTTTCTTGGGTAAAAGGATGAAAAGTTATTTGAAAAATAAAAAGAAAATCATAAAAGCCGAGTTGGAAATTATTTTTAATACATTTTTGTTTTCGCAAGATTTTAAACTTTAAAGTATCAGGAGCTTAACCCAATTAATCTCGTAGCAAAATAATAATCCATTTTGAAAATAATTAAATTTAGCTAAAAAGTTTTTTTTTTTAATATGGCAACGCATTAATTATTTATTACATCCTTTTCTTTTCTTCTTATTTAATACTTTTCTAGTTATTAATATAGAACCTAATTATTGAGTTAATCTTAGTTTTAAATATAAGACATATTTTTCATATCTATCAGTTTTTTTTTCAAATTACGCCTATTAATAATCCATTAATTATAATTAAGTAAACAATAGAGGAAGAATATTAAAAATGATGATTACGGTTTTTTAGAAGAAAAAAAAACATGTAATATTTCTTCTAATTAATTAACTTATAATTAATTAACTTACCTAAATTTTTTATTCTAATCAAATTAGTTAAATAGATCTTATATTAAATATTAGAGGAGTATTGACGTAGAAAAGTATAATTTTTTTTAAATTTTTAGACTAAGTTAATAAATTTTAAAATTTTCTTTGATTATGATGAAGAATGTTAAAAATAATTTATGAATAAGATTGTACGGATTCCTGTCTTGACGAAAACTTATTCCTGTATTTATATCTTTAAAACACTTAAATATAAAAAGCACAATATTTACATTAAATTTTTTATATTTATTATATCAATGAAAAAAATATTGAGAGACATGTGATTAAAAAAAACCTGAGATGATCAATATGTGCAATTTGATTTGACTTAAATATTTTTCATATAAAAAAATTTAATTTAAAAAGATCAAGCGATCCTCATGATTGTCCGTGGCTGTGGAGCGCGGGGGAGCGCATCCCGGTTTGATCTTGCGTCGATCGATGCAGGCCCCTTAGCCGTGGTTAGAAGGATGGCGTCGTCTTTTCACATGCAGCACGTCCTGCCCCAAAAGCTGCTAATATATTCGCACGTATAAGCAACGTCCTTCATGTACCGTCTCTGTTTCTTTAACCGACTGACTTTTTTTCCCAAAAAATAAATAAATAAATTTAAGAGAAATAACAAAAAAAAAAGAAACTAAAAATTACTAAATTTTAAATGAAGTTTAGTACTAATATTTTATTTGGAATTAATAATATTAAATTTGTAAATAATAATAAATTTTAATTGACATTTCTTATTTGGTATTTACGAATTTATAACTTCTTTTTTTGCCATGTTTCCTAAACTTAACGGTATTTTTAATATAAAATTTAATTAATTAATTTGAATAAGTTAAAAACATAATTAAATTAGTTAATATGATTTTTTTAAATATTGTAATTATTTTTTTAAAAAAATTTTCTCTTTCTATTACTTAATTATTATTGTGAGAGCATCCATAAAGTTAAAGGAAAATGACATATAAAGAAGGGTTAAGGTGCACCCAGCACCCCCAAGTATTTTGTCAGGTGCACCCAGTGGCCTAAAGTAATTTATGGTGCAATTTTACCCTCAAAGTAATTAAAATGATGCACCGATATCTCATGCTAACAGATCTGTTAGTTTGACCGTTAAATTGATAAGTCAGCACAAGTTTGACCAGAAAATCTGACGTAGCATGTCTAATAAGCAGGTGATGTGAAATTTTTTTGGGGTTAAGGTGCATCCAGCACCCCCAAGTATTTTTCCAGGTACACCCAGTGGCTTAAAGTAATTTATGGTGCAATTTTGCTCTCAAAGTAATTAAAATGGTACACCAGTATCCTATGCTAACAGATCTCTTACTTTGACTGTGAAATTGATGAGTCAGCACAAGTTTGACCAAAATAATCTGACTTGGCATGTCTAATAAACAGGTGATGTGGAATTTTTTTCGTCTTCCACTGCTTTGTTTTATCTGTTAAGTAAATGCTCTTTCGGTTCTTGGAATTTTTTTCAAAGTAAGAAATTTTTTCAGAGATACTCCTCTAGTCCTATTTATAGGGTAGAGAGAAAAGATATTTTTTGATCCTATTTATAAGACACTGAAAGAAATTTTTTGTATGGATGTATAAATTTACACCTCATTTATTATTGTATTGACTTTGTTTATATGAGGTATAATGTATATTAAATAGGGATAAAGTTGGAAAGTTATTAAAATTTAAATGAGAGTTAATGAAATTTAGGATTTTCCTTAGTCTGTGTGAAACATGCTGGAAGTGTCTTATAAATAAAACCAGAAGAGTAATATTCAGACAAAACAATGAAATTAACAAGAAAAGTCATGTCACCTGCTTATTAGACATGTTAGGTCAGATTATTTTAGTCAAACTTGTGCTGACTCATCAATTTTACAGTCAAAGTAACAGATCTGTTAGCATGGGATATTGGTGCACAATTTTAATTATTTTGAGGGCAAAATTTCACCATAAATTACTTTAGGCCACTGGGTGCACCTGGAAAAATACTTGGGGGTGCTGATGCACTTTAACCCCGAAAAAATTCCACATCACCTGCTTATTAGACATGCCACGTCAGATTTTCTGGTCAAACTTGTGCTGACTCATCAATTTAACGGTCAAACTAACAGATCTGTTAGCATGGGATACGGGTGCACCATTTTAATTATTTTGAGGGTAAAATTGCACCATAAATTACTTTAGGCCACTGGGTGCACCTGACAAAATACTTGGGGGTGCTGGGTGCACCTTAACCCTATAAAGAATGCTGAAATTAGGATATCCCATTTTGAAAAGCTAATGATTAGAAATCACAGAAATTAGGATATCCCATTTTGGAAATAACTTTTCTTTATGTGATTTCTAATCTTTAGTTTCTTAAATTGAGATATCTAAATTTCAGTCTTTTTTATTTATCATTTTCTCTAAAATTAATTTAAAAAAATTAATAAATATGTAAAATAAATTTTATATATAAAACTAACATTAACTTTTAAATTAGATTTTACTTTATAAGCAAAGAGGAGGAATATTTAATTATTTGCATGAGTTAAGTTGAAATTTTTTTAATTTTAATTTTATCAATGCTTTCCTCAAGAAAAAATCCTATTTCGTCAGGGATTTATTTTATCGCCATTAAACCCCTACGCGTTCATTTAATTACACCATTGTCACTACCATGAGATAGTTCTTCTACATCTAACTGCCTCGCTCATTTATCGTTCAAAACGACAAACCTACTTCTCTAATTCGTTCCACGAGCCCCATTTTCGTCTTGCTCTGTCTCTGCATCTCTACTGCAACAATGGTGGCACCCCTTTACTTGGCTGCCTTCTTCTCTTCACTTTTCCATCTTCTTCTTCTTGTTCAGAGCTCCAAAATCCCAGACTTGGAAGCTCTCATGGCGTTTAAAACTTCTTCAGATACGTCCAACAAGCTCTCAACTTGGAACCCCAGTACTGACCCTTGTACTTCTTGGTCCGGCGTATATTGCCTCCATGACAGAGTCTCGCGGCTCGTTCTTGAAGACCTCGATCTCCGAGGCTCTTTCGAACATTTGACTTATCTAACTCAGCTTCGAGTTTTGAGCCTGAAGCGAAACCGCCTCTCCGGTCCCATTCCTAGCCTTTCCAATTTCACGGCCCTGAAACTTTTGTATCTCTCTTACAATGAGTTTTCCGGTGGCTTTCCGGCGACTGTCTCGTCGCTTTTCCGCTTGTACCGTCTTGATCTGTCACACAATAACTTGTCCGGCGAGATTCCCGCGACGGTCAACCATTTGACCCACATTCTCACTCTCCGTCTAAATGAGAACCGTTTCTCCGGCGACATTCCTAGTCTTAACCTTCCTAACCTTCAAGACTTCAATGTCTCCGGGAATCGACTGTCCGGCCAAATACCCAAATCACTGTCGGGTTTCCCCGAATCGAGTTTCGCTCTAAATCCGTCTCTTTGCGGAGCTCCGATGCAGAAATGTGCCAACTTTGTGGCCGAACCCAGCAAACCCGGATCTGAAGGAGCCATTGCGTCGCCATTAACGCCGCGAAGCAACCCAAGAACACCAACTATATCGTCCACACCGAGCTCAATGCCTGCAAACGAAGCAACACGTCCCAGAAAATCCAATTCATCAGCAAAAATAAGCCCCATTGCTCTCATCGCCATTATTCTCGGCGACATTGTGGTCCTCGCAGTGGTCTCCCTTCTGCTGTACTGCTACTTCTGGCAAAACTACGCCGCGAAATTGAAGGACGGAAAAGGTTCGAAGCTAATGGAGAGCGAGAAAATCGTGTATTCATCGAGTCCGTATCCGGTTCAATCGGGGTTTGAGAGGGGCCGAATGGTGTTCTTCGAAGGGGTGAAGAAATTCGAGCTAGAGGATTTGCTTCGAGCTTCAGCGGAAATGCTGGGAAAAGGGGGGTTCGGGACGGCGTACAAGGCGGTTCTGGATGACGGAAGTGTCGTCGCCGTCAAGAGGCTCAAAGAAGCTCAGATTGGAGGGAAGAAAGAGTTCGAGCAACAAATGGAAATTCTGGGAAGATTGAGGCATCCAAACATCGTTAATTTGAGAGCTTACTATTTTGCCAGAGACGAGAAGTTGCTGGTATCTGATTACATGCCCAATGGAAGCTTGTTCTGGCTTCTTCATGGTACGTCAATTTCATTTTACTGCAATGATTACTATCTCTTTTAGTATTTATCATGAATTTGACTGCTGAGAAAAGTTGGTGAACAAGAAAAATCATTCCGACATAGATGAAGAACGCCGATGATAGTTGTGAGGACCAGTTGAGAGGATTCTTGTTCTTACTAGCTCTATTAAATTATCGTTAATCATTACTTTTTAATTTGCCCCACTTGTTACTATCTTCGTGGCCAAACTGGGTTGAATAATAATAATAAATATCCAACACCAATACGACAGAGTAAGACACCCCTAATTGTAGGGTGCAATGGATCTAGTTAGTTTTAGAAGGTCGTGCTTTGGCTACTTTTTAGAACATCAAAGTTGGACCAGAATATTTACGCAGAAGCTAAAACACGGTTTGAGGATTTAACTGCTCATTTTTGCATTCCCCTGTCACGATGATGTACTATGGAGATTATAAGCATTAAAGCTGTAGCTTAGATAGGGTCCATTTAGAGCTTCTTCCTTTTTTAAATTATTGAAGTTGGACCATGTGATTATGAATGATGGATTGTTTCCAACTTGTCACGGCGTACCAGGATTGAGGAAAGCAGTGGCATTTTTCTATTCTATTTTTCCTGTACGTTTACGAGCAAACTGTTGCAGACGAAAGCAACTGTTGAAAACGCAGGAGCCTAATCAGTGTCTTCTTTTTTCCAGATCTTCTTTTGCTTTTTGTTCTTTTCCAGAAACATGTCCTTATGCTTTTATCTTTAGTCCCAGATTTTCCAGGCATTATGACCAAAAAAGTGCCAAGGGAGCCACCCACCCATTTGAACCCTTGCCCTGTTTTCCAAAGAAAAGAAACTAGTGACAAATTCGAATTATACAAAACTTAATGGCTAAATTGTTAACTTCGTTTCCGACAGGTAACCGAGGGCCTGGCCGTACCCCACTGGACTGGACCACAAGGCTTAAAATAGCAGCCGGGGCGGCGCGTGGAGTGGCTTTTATTCACAGTTCATGCAAGTCGCTTAAGCTCACCCACGGTAACGTCAAATCCACAAATATCCTCCTCGACATGGCGGGAAATGCACGCGTGGCAGATTTCGGGCTCTCCATCTTTGCGGGCCCCACCGCCACTCCGAAATCTAACGGCTACCGTGCCCCGGAGGCTCTCGACGGACGGAGATGCACTCAAAAATCCGACGTGTACTCCTTTGGCGTCGTCCTACTGGAGATTCTCACCGGGAAGTGCCCATCCTCCGTGGACGGCAGCGGGTACGGCGGCAGTGCGATGGTAGATCTTCCGAGGTGGGTACAGTCGGTGGTAAGGGAGGAATGGACGGCGGAGGTATTCGATCTTGAGCTGATGAGGTACAAGGATATTGAGGATGAGATGGTGGGGCTGCTTCAGATTGCTCTGTCCTGTACGGCCGCTGCGCCTGATCAACGGCCCAGCATGAGCCACGTGGTGAAGATGATCGAGGAGATTCGTGGGGTCGAGGTGGGGCCGAGTCATGACACGTTGGACTCTGGGTCCGATTCACCTTCCGTGTCTGAAGATGCTTCCTGAAGTTCCTCTGTTAGCTTTTCTTCAACCATTCTCTGAATATTCAGTCACATTGTCCTGTATGGGATTCTGATAATCAAATCGATGCGAAATGAAAGTTTTTTGTATTAGCTCTAAAATTAAAGTTCATATCTTCTTTTTTTTTTCCCCTTTACAATTCTTTTCTCCTGAGGAGAGGGTTCTAGGACAAAAACAGAGTGTTACGTCTTGAATCAGCAAAAACAGATTTTTATTCTTACATGACCCAACCAGAATAAAGTATTCTCTTTTTTGAGTGAGAAGGGGAAAGCAGTTTTGAATTTATTCCTATTCTCCAGATTGATAGGCAAAGTTGCTAGCTTTAATGTGAAGTTTCTTTTTTTTTTTTTCTAACCATTAAAGAAGCAAGGAATAGATATTCGAAATTCGAAGTTCTTGCTCTGCCTTATGGCTTGAGGCATCTAACTTTTATTGTCTAATTAGTAGGACAAGTGGTCCAGAGTACCACATTAAAATTCACTTCCAAGATCCACCTGTGAGGTTTTATACAAAAACACGAAATTCAGTGCAAGAACTACAAACAGCTCCAAGAAATTCGGGTTTATGTCTCGTCATCCTGTATCTCTTTTTCTTTTCTCATCTAGGGAAGGGATGAGAAGAAGAAGAATAATGACGGAAAGAGAAAGAAAAAGAAAAAGAATGACGGAAAGAATAAATCAAATGATTTCTTTCAAAGAAGCGCTCCCAGGTCACTTTAGTTTTCTTAAATTATTGCTCCAATGGAAAGCATTCGGATGTTGACCATGAGTATTTGAGAAATGCATAACCCTAGGAGCAATAGTGAGAAGCTTGGGCAAACTAGAAGGCGAGAACTTTCTAGCAAACAAGAAGCACGCGTTGGTTTCATGACCCCCATTATACTTGCACTTCTTGTTCCTCAACCTCTCCAACAACCCAGGAGTCACCTCGTCCCTCGAGAACCGGGTCGGATGGGGCCCACCCTTGGACCAGTCAACCCAAGTCAACGACCTATTCGAATTCCCCTCGTAGAAATTGATGCTCACGAACGTAGGCAAGTAATGCTCATCCGCGTAACAATCACCATTACAATACTTCTGAAACAGAGGGAAGTACACTCTGTCCGACACAACCTCCAGTGCCAGGTTTCTGTCCATTTCGAACCATTGTGACCCTTTTCTCCATTGTCGGAGGGACACACGTGGGAGCATCCTGGGACGGTAACGGCCACGACCCACCCAGCTAGGGTCGTCGTAGGCCATGACATAATTCTGCTTGGAGTTGATGAGGTAGGAGTAGACAGTGGAGAAGTTGAACAGAGGAATGCAGGATTCCGACAAGAGGACGAATCGCTGGTTGGAGATGTCGAGGAGGGCGTTCGCCAGCAGCCGCCGTTCAGCTTCGATCATGTTGACGTTGCCCCATTGAACTTTCTGTTTCACAAGTGATGAAGATGAAAGTGTTAGTCGGTGTTGATTTTGGTTGACCCAGGCCCAGCTTATTAGGTGAACTAACTAATTATAAAAGCGTCATGTAGCTATGGAGAGGTCCCACAAAAACATGCGAAATAATGATATTTTTAAGAAGAAATTGTCAGAAGCTATAAGCGAAGGAAATTGAAGTATCTCTTTCGTTGAAATGTCTGAGTTTTGCCGAGCTTCCTTTTCTTATAGAGGCAAAATGCAAAAAGGAAATGAAATATAACCTAGGAACCTATGTTAGGAATTGCAGGTTGACGACCTTGGGAATGTTTTGGTCAAAAAGCTGTTGTTTTGGGCCTCACGAGCTACCTACCATGCTTGGAGATACACGTGGGACACACAGCTCTGAGGCAGATCTAATGAGATTAAACGTAGCATATGGGATAGGACCAGTTGATGGAGATGAACGTGATGATCAATGTGACTGTCGTACTAATCAACAGAAGAAGTTCAGTTCACAAAGAGGATAGGCCTCTGTTTTTTTCTTGCTATTGCATGTTGGACCACCGAAATGGAATTTGCTTTCTTGAAAAATACATGCATACATATATCTTTCTAGCTTACCATTTTGACCATAGCTATATTTCTTGACTTTAAATGTGTAAGGGTAAATTGCGTATAGACTGTAAATTTATGAACCCTGTATGAAATTATGAATCCTTTGTTGTCTTCCTCTGTTTTCTCCCCCCCCCCGGGGGGTTATCTATTCTGCTTAAGCCTATTCTTAGCCTCTTGATTATTCCTTCGTTCTATTACAGAGATTAGAGAAACAATTTGAATACAATAAAACAAATGCATAGCTGATGTGAATAATATTAAAAAAGGAAAATGAACTCAAAAATGCGAATAAAATGAATATAAGCTTATTGTCGTGATTCAGATTAAGGCAAAGATAGTACAGATGACTGCCATTATTGAAAATATTGTTTTCGGTTTGTCATTATTGACTTTAACTGGACACTAAATCTATGATCGTGTTCATGTGAGATTATAATATAATATAAAGCAATTAGCGTCTTCCTCTGTTTTGTTCTGCTTTCTCTACTCTCATGGCCTCGTCACTGGTTTTCTCCTACTCTGTTCCCACTTATAGATAAAATCAACTAGCTAGTATGCCTACAAATAAGGACGTAGTTATGTTTTACATAGGTTTAATAAAGTCATCATTTCAAAACAAAGGACATTCACATTCTCATATCGCTAATTTTCCAAGTCCAAGTCAATTTATTAACCATATCATTAAATAAAAGTAATGAAGGAGAAACAAACTGACCTTGCTAGGAATTCTGCGGCCATGGAACACCGGGCTCTCGGGGTCGGATCCATTGTAAGACGGGTTTGAATGGACATAGATTGAGTAATAGCCTTCATGTCCTTTGAAGAACATCTCCCACAGAGGAGCCAAATGCACAGGACCTTTTGTTAAGAACAAGAAGGCGACTTTAGGAACACGTTGGAAAGGGTAATCCGCGATCCTAGGAGACATCGAAGCCCTCCATAGAAGCTCCTTATCGTTCATGTCGTGCATGGCCACAGGAGGCTTAAGATACTCCTTCAAGGAACTACTGTTAGACTTAGAGGCAGGAACATTAGGCATTTCTGGTTGTGGTCTCTGAGATATTGGCACGGGAGCTAATATCCTTGGTGATGAGGATGAAGAGATTGAGAACCGAGTGAACTCCACACTGAAGTTGCAGTTCTGAAGGTAGAAGCTGATGATAATCCCTAGGGTTATTCCACAGCCCAGAAGGAGCAAGTGGGGAAGAAGACGAACCCGGTGGTTGTGAACATTGAAAAGCTTTGAAACTGATGATTGTACTGGGTATTGATTGTTTTGGCTCTTCATTTCTGCCCCAACAAAAAGAAAACTGCAAAATGAAGATCAATTCCTTTGTTCTTGTGCTATGATTTGCGATCTAGCAGAGGCTCCGAAAGATTATCTTATCAGCAATACTTGATATGATATCTGTATATGCTCATCAAGTCATAAAAGAAGAAAACAGAACAAATCTATATGAAGTAAGGATTACCAACAGAGAGATAGAAAGAGATTCAAATCCTCAAGAAGGTGAGGACGATGATAATCTTCGATACCCACTTTGAATATCAGCTTTAATCTGCTGAAATAACAACAGATTCTTAAGAAAGATCAAACTTTAGCCAACCCAGAACTCGGTTTCGTTGGCTTTGATTATATGCCTCGTTGTTTCGGTTACAAGAAAACACACGCAAATAGTCAGAGAGAGAGACAGAGAAACGGATATGTGTATGTGCGTGTGTGTTCCCTTATATATTCGTGATCAAATAAAGTTAGATCATTATTATTTTCGCTGAAACTTCAAAGAAAACGCATTGGTTTGTTGTTGTTGATCTGGTGCCGCCTTGTTACTGGTTCTGCTAGGAGGAATATCCAAAACGACGTTGACGTTTTTTGCGGAGTTTATGACCGTTGAAAGTTATGTAACGACGTCGACTAAGTTACGAGAAGCCGCCAGCCCAGCCTCCTTGTTAAGACGTGTTTGGTTACTCGTTTTTCTGGTACTCCTTCAATAATTCAATTCCTGGGGACAGAAGACGCTTTTTCCGCCAAACAAGTGGCATTTGCTAGAAGAACACGTGAAGATGGAAGCATCCTGAAGAAGACTTTTTCAATCCAGAATTCGGTAATTTTCTGATTAATTCTCTACCAATCAAGATTAACATGGGGAAAATGATGTGACTGATGGAATTGGAAACCTCAGGTCAAGGGATTGTCATGGAAAAGAGGAAAAGGATTGAGAGATCTAGAACTGCAAAGATTTGTTTGCAAATTAAAAGATTAAAATTTTAAACTTATTTTAAAAGCCATTTGCTAATTAGTAATAAGCTGAAATGTAACAGAAAATTGTATGAGAGGCAGTAGAAATTGAAGAGATTTATAGTTAAAAGATTTTTTTTTAATTTATATTATGAGTACTTTTTTCTTATAAATTCCTTTTTTTCGTAAAACTTCTTACAAAGCTCTTTCCCTCACATTTAAAGCTTTTTCTATACACTTCATTTGGAGCATTTTTAGTTTCAAGAAAATACGTGCTACTCCAGTTGCTAAATATAAAAATTAAATAACTAATTTATAAAGATTAAGAAAATTAGTTAAATTAATAATTTGTTAAAATGTGTGTTGATTTTTAAATATCTTTTTAAGTATTTGCATTTAAAACTATTTTCTGATGAAAACCTTCTTATTAAGAGCAATTGAAGATAAAGTGAATTAAAATCTCACATTTAAAACAAAATCAAGACTTTCTATTACATTCTATATTTGGGGTCGGAGGGTAATGAAGTTATAGACTAAGGAAGGTTTTTTCATGCAGAAAAAATCAGACTAAAATGTACAAACGTTTTGCTTCAAATGATGATCGTGTATATTTAAAAATTAGAAGAGAAATTTATGCAATTTTAATTGAAAACCAAATACAGTTTCTTTTAATTTTTACGTATTTGAAAAAAATTATATTAGTATTTTTCAAAACAACTATAAATCTTTGATCAGTATCTCAACCAGCATCGGACTTTTAAATCTTTCTTAAATTATAATCAATGATTAATATAGCAAGAGGGGTCAACAATCCAGGACAACGAGAAGAAAACAAAGAGCATAGTGACCATGGGAAACAAAAAAAAAAAAAGAGGCAAATGAAAACAATTAAACAGAGACTAATTAAAAGGTCTATTGGTAATAAAATAATGAGGCTTGGCTTTTGTCGCTTAAACATTCTTGGGAAGTTCGGCTATTGTAAAATTCAACGACACATGACAATTAACAGCAGGACTTACCTTTATTTAATATTCTTATTCAAAATTCCTTGTTCTGACGATTTCAAAGAACAAGATAAAGGGTAAGGAGAAAGAAAATCAGAATGAAAATAATATATAATTGCATAGTTTTGTTATTTATTTATTTTGACTGGAAACAGAAGGAGAAAGGTGTCATTTAGATGTCACTTTCAAGTGAACAAGTTGAGACAATGATCAGAAATGCAAGACAAAAACTTTCGTTGCCACCTATGAGATTTCAGAAATTTGATATACATGCATAAATATGTGTATTACTTCTTTACTTTTTAATATAAGTCCTAATTGTTGAGTTATTCGTAATCCTAAATATTATATTTATTTATCATATTTATCAATTTTACCTAAATTACCCTTATTAATATTTCCTTGATCATAATAAATTAGGAGAAGGAATGAGTATATTGAGAAAGATAATTATGATATTTAAAAAAAATTATCATATTTCTTATAATTAACTAACTTACCTAACTTTTTTTAATCTAATCAAATTAGTTAGATAAGTTTTATATTAAGGACCATAGTAATTATTGTTATCATTTGTCAAGGGAACAATGATGGCTGTTCCTACTTCTCATTCGGTATTTTATAAATTCCCTTCTACTTTTTCAATGTTTGATCATTTTTCCAACAAAAAAAAAAACAATGACGGCTGTTCTCTGTTATATTCGTTCGTTCTAGTGTATCGAAATAGTTTTTGTTGAACTAAATCATCCAGAGAGTTTCTTTTTGCAGAAAATAATTAACTATTTTTTAATAAATAATTACTCTCGAAAATATCATTGACTTTTTAAGGTTTATTTTAATCCAAAGCATTTTTCTGTTCCAATCAAATCATCTTTAACTTTTACCTGCTTGATGCATTAAAATTTAACTTTGGTACGAAATGATATCATTAAATAGCAGTTGAAAACATTTAGATAAATATACACACACACACACATATATATATATAGAAGATAACTATAGCATAAAATATTATTTGTATTTGTTAAAATATATACGAGTTACAATTATTTTGTGACCAAATTTCTTTATATCTAGTACTTGCATAACATAACAAGTTAACAACTATATATAGATATGAATTTGATTTTTTTTAAAAAAATATTTTTTATAAAATGACAAAATTATAAATAAATAAATAAATATAATTAACGGTTTACAAAGAAAAAAAGCACGACAATTATTTAATTTATCAAGCCTAAAAAAAAACAGCTCGCCTTTTTCATATGAGTTGTTGGAGTGCTGATCCATGAAGAAAAATGACAACTTCACACTTCACAGTACAGATCAAGAATGATTATTAGTGTTTTCCCACAATGGAAGACTTCCTTGCATTTAGGGTTCCTCCTTTCTATTATTGACTTACCAGAAATTAACGGCAAATGTTTTAATATGGAAACTCTCCAACACATACCCACAGACTTTCCAATTGTCAATGACTGATTATTCTGAAACATTTTAACAAATTACAACACTCAGCATTAGATCACGCCGGCTGGTTTATTACCAGAAATTAATTCTTTTCCCGCAGATTACGATGCAATGTTTCTCCAGAGAAATCATGTACAAAGTTTACCAGAAATTTGGCAAGCCACCCACGTAATGGAATAAGTCAACAATTTGTATATCCGTGCTTAACAATTCTCTGATTTTATACACAAGGCAGGGTTTCAGCTCCGTAAACATTCAGAAATTATGCTATTTTAAGGGGAAAAATTGAAAATATGGAATAGCTATTAATGATGCAGAGCTATCGTCACAAAGTTTGCTGAAATTGATGCTTGTCGTTTTGTTTATGGCACTTCCTTGTTTTACAAAAACCTTGAATATTAGAGATTGTGCAAAGAAAAACAAAGCTTCATAATGGTGATGTTGCTTAATTGTCTTTCTGAAATACTATAGACACAAAACGATATAGCATATGGAGCCATGCCTTGATGATTACGATGCAATCTAAGCATAAAACTAATACTCTATCAAATGACAACCAATTTCCACGAGGAGGGGAAAGGGCTTCACTTTGAAATTCTTAAACTACTACCTCCGATCCTTAATATAAGACCTTGTTTGACTTTTATTTTAGTTCTAAATATAAGACTCCGATTCATTTTGTCTCTCATATTTATATATATTTTTCCAAGGTAGTCCTTCTAACAATAATAATTCTAGCCAGCCAACACACTTAATTAGTAAGGATATTTTAAGAAAGACAACGCCTATTTATTACAAATAACTAACTTAACTTCTTTTCTTAATCTGCTCAAATTAGTCAACTAGTTCTTATAATTAGGAGCGGAGATAGTATAATGCTTTGGCAAAAAAAAGTCAAGTGAATCAATTGGGGCAAGAAGGTCAAAGTGAATTAACCGCGCACGAAAAAGTGGACTTTTCCTGTGTGTGAGGCAAGAGTGTCCATTATTTGAAATGGGGATTAAGCCTTTAAAAACAATTTTTCAATCGTAATTTATGATATACTCCTCCGGTCCTAATTATAAGACCCAATTGACTTATTTGAGGAGATTAAGGAAGTAAGTTAAGTTGGTTATTTATAATAAATAAGTGTTGTCATTCCTAAAATATCCTTGCTAATTAAGTATATTGACTAAAACTATCATTATTAGAAGGATTATCTTGAAAAAAATGCATAAATATAAGAGACAAAATGGATTGGGGTCTTATAATTAGGACCAAATAAAAAGTCAAATGGGGTCTTATAATAAGGACCGGAGGAGTATGAGATAAGAATATAAAAATTTTTTTATCTCACTTACTTTAATATAGTTATGATAAGTAACTCCAAATACGCACCTATATTCTGGATTCCAGTTGTGTCAAGCGTTGAGTGGCAGAATGCTAATGTAGTATGGATTTTTTAATGCTGCATAAATGATGTAGTAAGCTAAGGCTCATAAAACCTTGCGCTTCAAATGGGGACAAAGCACACCATATCCTCTATCATACAAACTTAGGTAAAAGTGCAGCCAGCATTCTAATTTTATTTCTCACGTGCATCTAACACCCTGATGTTTTTTTCCCCCCCCCCTTATATTTAGCATCCTAAAGATCTCGATGCTGGATGTACCGAAAAAATAAGATCAAAGTGTTAGATGCATCATA